AGAGACTATAAAAACATCATAACTCTACTCATAAAATGAGATGCTATTTTAGTGCTATTAGTGCAGTAATAACCACCATATGACTCAAGAGTATTGGAATAAACATACTGAAAAGAAATATGGCATGAAAATATGTTCTGAATGCAAAAGATGCTCAGAGAACACCAATCAACTACAATGATCAGCAAGCACTCTCTGGCTTTTTCTAACAGCACATCAGCTCATCTGAGTGACAGGAGTTTGTACTGATTAGAAAATACAACTTGAAATTGCTTTAATTAAAGGCTCAAGGAAGCACAGACATTCTCATATCTGTTAAGACAACCCAACCTTGTTATAAGCAAAGCACACATTAGGGAATACTTACCTAAAAATTATTTTCTTAGCCTAGATGACATTATAGAAGCTTTATTCAAGATGTTTTACATGAACCAGTAATGTGTCTAACATGTCTCTATTCCCAGTGCTTTCCAATAAACATACTTTAAAAAACAGAAACAAATGCACACTCCAAGATCAATGAAAAGGTAAGGCCCATATAATTTTTTCATTTTAAGTAAATAATCAGTAAATAATCTGGACAGGGTATGAAAACAAGTTTGCAAAAATCTTATTCCTATCTGTGCAGTTTCAAAAGCAGCCAAGGTCTTGGCTCATTTCTGAGGAGTGGGTTTAAAAAACAAAGCAAAATGCAAGCATATCCCTGCTCCGAGACTTGGTGTCTGATTCCTCACATTGCACCAGCCTCTGCCAAACCTTCTAAAAGCTGTGAAAGAAAGGGGCAGGGATAAAACAAGACAGTGCAGAATCTCATCATTATTGGAACACCTTGCAGGACATCCTGTTTCTGCTGGAATCCAATTGTGACCACAGACTTCAAACTTCTAGAAAGAGTATTTATAGTAGCACACATCAGCCTCCAGCCTTAATAAAGCTGGACAAATATCCTGAAGCTGTCACAACAGCTTTGGTGCACAATTCTGTCAGACCACCCTGCTAGGAGTGCACATGTGGGGATGGCAAGATGGAAAACCTATTGGGATTCTGCACCAAAAGGGAGAAAAACAAGCAGCATCTCATCCACACTGTCCAGAAACAATCCCAAAACTATGCCAAAACCATATTTCCATTTTATCTCAAAGAAAATTAGAAATTTTTTCACTCCAAAAAACAGCCCAGAGGGGAAATAAAACAGATACAGTATGGCTAATCAGAAATACTGGTTTGCTAAGTTAATTGAGAGAATGGATTCATTTTGGATGGCAATTGCTCAGAGGGGTCTCTACTTCAAGGGATTGTCTCTCCCTTTAGAATGAAAACCAGATGGGTAAATTAATTATTCATATTCCAAACACTACTTGCAACACTCATTTTCTAATAAACAAGCATGCAATTCTCTATTGTGCATTCACCACCAGAGAATCTTATATCTGTTGAAGAGATTAAGATACATGCAATATTTAAGGTTCTTTGTGATCCTTCCTTAAATATGTTAACATTCAATATGCTCTAATTAGCTTCCCTTTCAAATTACATTCCTGATTTCCAAATTATAGGTTAACATGTTTCTTTGATAGATTATATTATTTTATTTCTTTGCTATTTTGGACAAGATGTAGAAGTGCTTTTCCTGAGGAAAAACAGGAATGGTTTTTTTTTCCACTTGCTCCAAAAAGGTGAAAATTTTTTATCTATCTCCAGCATAACTTTTTATTACTAAAAGGAAGGAAATACTCCCTGCAGCCCACCATGTTATGCTTTTCAATTTAATGATACAAACATCTTCTGAAGTAGAGAAGCATAAACTCATTAGCAGCATTTTAGTTCTCTCTGCTGCAAAAGCCTGGAGGAAAGAAATCTTAATACAGAATATCTGATTCTAGCACTGAAATTTAAATCTTAAACCAAATTATAACATTTAATTTTATGCAATCTTTATATCTCAAGTTAGGATTTCTCTCTTTTCATTCTGAAAGGGACTTGATCTTAATTGGTTTTATGCTTTTCCACTTGTGTCTTGACTCATTTCTGCTTTAAAACATGAGAGACTGAAAAGAGAGATTTCCAGGTGGATTTGGAGAACACAAACAAGCTTTTATGAATGTCAAAAATATATATAATAGAAATGTTATCTATGAGTAATATAATCAAAAAGCAGCCTAATTTAGACAAGACTAATACATTTATAGAAAAATTACTTGAAAATAACACATTCAAATAATAAACCTAATAAATTCCCCTAATAGTCATAAGTAATCCATCATAGCGAAAAAAAAACCCAACAAAACTAATACATGGATACATTATAAAATAATTTGTAGGGTTTACATTTACTTCTAGGTTTCAGATAGTCAAGTTTTCTGAAAGTAGCAAATATTTGCATCTACAATGCAAATAACAGGAGACTACAAGATCAAATGTGTCCCTACTTAGCAATAATACATTAACAGTTATTTGTGAAAAACACATTATTTATACAGCACACATTTTGTAGAGGAAGAAACCAAATGAGAAGAAATGAAGTGTACAGTTACACTAAAATATATGAGCACATGGAGAGCCAGTGAAGTGCTGCTAAGAAACCCCCTCTAAGTTGTTACAACACAAAAGTCATAAAAATACATATTAATAAACTTGTCTACTGATAAAAAACCCACCTAAAGCCAAAAATATACATCATCCATATATCAAATGTGGAACTGTCTGAAAGAAAATGACAGTTTATCTGAAAAAAAATTCTGTCCTGTATCCAATATCTAGTCATTTTCCCTCAAACCTCTGAGTAAATCCCTTCTGAACTCCATTAAATGCCTTAAAGGACAGAGGACAGATGGATCCATCACCTTTACAAAACAAAAGAAAGATAAAGAAACCTTTGTTTGGAATCCCATCTCTCAGAAGCACTGCAGAATATGGGATGGTTTTCCATTTGAATTCTCACAGAATCTGATTCACATTTATCTTTTGCTTTAATCATTTGTTAAAGCATTTTAAAACAGTTAAAAATAAACTGCCTCAGAAAAAATTCAGCTAAAATTTGACATAATATCACAGTAACCGCAAAAATATCTCCAATATTTATGATTTCTGGCAAGAATCTTCCCAATCTTTTAACACTTACAAAGTGACTGGGCACTGCAGTATATCTTCTATATCAATACATGATTCAGAAACAGATGGCGTAAGTTCCATAAACATTTCAAACAAAAAAAGCCATGCCAATATTTTTCCTTAGAGGGAAAAGTCAGCCTTAGGCAACCCTGGATGCTAACTTTAGCAGCATTATTTTGAAGAAAAACAACTTTTAAGAAAAATTGATTTCATGTCCTTTTTACTATGATGGGCCAAAGGTCACTTTGTGTTCTATGTGGCTTTTCAAGACAGCTGTCTGTTCAGCTCTGACTTGGAAATGCCTGTGCATCACATCAGAGAATTCAGCAAACCGTGACCTTCATCTTTTCCTCTCACTTTTTCCCATCTGGGTGCATAAGAAACGAGAGCAGCAGTAACACTTCCCCATTCTGTTGTTAATTCAGAATCCTAAATACTGATTTTTTACTCAGCAAAAAGCATAAGCACTTCCTATAAATTGTTTGATGACAATTTGTATGATAATATGTACCGTGAGGGTAGGAAGATGCAAATGAAACATGAACTGTGAAGACAGGTGAAAGAGCAGCTAAGGAAGTCACCAAGTGTGGTGGGGGTGAGAAGTCCCCAGAACAGGTTTCTGTCAGAAACCCAAAGTCACCATTCCAGGCAGGACTTGCCAGGAACCACATGAGCCCACCCATGCAAAGTGCTCACAAGTATTAGGGTTAAATCTCTGCTCCCACAAAGAGCTGTGGAAGACCATGGCCTTTCCTCAAGACTGCAGAAAGCTCCTAATGCCATTTGTACCTGTGAAGCTTAAGGCTGGGCCCTGCACAGAGATAAGCAGTAGTCAAATCTACATGGATAGAAACTGACAACACTTTTGTGCACAAGTTAGAAGAACAACAGCCTCACAGATTCCCTCTAGCCTTTATGAGACAAGTCCCAACTCTGCATCTGTTCCCACAGGCCCAGAGGCCAGGTCTTTGGTAGAAAAGGCCATGGTTAAACCAAACAGAAACTTTCCCCAGACAGACAGTCATTACTTTTCTTCTGCTGTTCTCTCACCTACACCTGAGCCCCTGGAGCCCTGCAGCCCCATCTTGTCCCACAGCAGCTCCTGCACTCCCATCCACGCAGCCATGGGCTGTGACAGGGGGAGCACAAAGGCCTTGCCAGCCTGTACAGACAAAGGTCAGTGGGTGTCAAACACCAAGAGAAATGGGATCATAGAATATATTCTAGCAAGCTCTTGAAAGGCCTCTTTGTGGAAAGGGAACAAAAAAAAAAAAAAAAAAAAAAAAAAAAANAAAAAAAAAAAAAAAAAAAAAAAAAAGAAAAAAAAAAAAAAAAAAAAAAAAAAAAAAAAAAAAAAAAAAAAAAAAAAAAAAAGAAAAAAAAAGGAGATCATTATAGACAAGAGAGGAAGCACAAGGAGCCCACGTGTCATGGCCATGTAAGCAAGACTTCCAGAGCACCAGCACTGCCAGCTGGGCCCTTTACTGCTATGAGGCCTGAAGCCAAATTCCAGGTGAGCTTCCTTTTTTTTCCTGTATTACCCACTTTCCAGGGCTCACTGATGCTTTACAAGGAGTGCTTCATAAACACCAGAATTCATGACAAGGAAGTATTCAAGGTACATGCATGGCTCACAATTGTACTCCTCTACTTCAGGAAACAATGTTAATTCTAATCACAGATAGCAGAAAATATGCCTAAGAACAGATGTCCTACAATAAAATACCCATTTAAAAGCTTTTTCTGTCCACCATTTAGATACAATAGAGCAACTGCTAGACTTGCATGAAAACAAATATTTCCTGTGTTAAAAATATTACATATTTTGTACAACTAATATTAATTTTTCATTTCAATTAAAATGCAAAACTTCCAATAAGCTCACTTACAGGATGTTTGGCTGAAAGTCTGCCTGTCACAGTTCCTGTTTGATTCCAAGTAGAGGAAATGAATCCCTGTAATCAAGTAAAGTAAGAAACAGAAAAAAAAAGAATGAAGACACACAGCCATACTTTATTTAAGTATCAGTAAAAAAATTCACTGCAATCAAAACAAGAAAATATAAAATAAACACTTTTCATTTTCTATGAATAAAAGTTCTTAATCTGTAAACACTGCAATCATTTCACATATTTTTAGGATTTCCCAAGCTACTTTATATATTTCTACCTTTTTCATGCACGTTCGTAGTCCATCCACATACGTTGATTTCATCTTATGAACCTAAAATACATAAAATTTAAGATAAATGCTTACTTAGAAAAATAAGGGATTTTTCAAATTAAAGATCCTAATTTCCAAATGCATCCTGCTTGTAGACTTTTCTTTTTTAGAGACAGTTTTATCTGAGTAAATAATGGATTTATACTCACTGACAGCTTAACCTATTCATTTAAGTTAGGTAAGTGCTTGGTTATAACCTAAAGACAGAGCTTTGCAGATACTATTAATTATCGGAATTTATTATTTTACATCTTCTGTCCCCAGGTCAATAAATTATATAAAAACCACACACACACAAAAAACAAACAAATTTTTTAAAAAATCAAAACCAAACAGAAACCCACACTTCTAAAATTTTTAATTTTTTTTTAATTCTTGGAAGCTCATACCCTGAAAACCTAATGATTAAGTGTGGGAGCAGACTAACTAGATCGTTTAGGATTTTCAGGAGGCTTGTCACCCCAAATTCCCCATAAACAGTTATCTCCTTCACTTTATGCAAAGCATTTCTTCAGTACTCAAAAAATAGATGTTTTGCCCTAAGTATGCTTTTTAACACTACACAAATTTAACACTGCAGTTTTCCAATTGTCTTTGCAATTTTGTACAATTTGTTTGCTAGCTAAAATCTAACAGAGCAAAACAACTATAAGCATCAACATGTCTTAAGAATACTGACTTCAAATTGATACTTGAATGAACTTTCACTAGCACCAACTTATTTAACTATGAATATTTTTTTCTGTCTTGCTAAATTTTGCTTCAATGTAACTACATTCTGTGGAAAAAATATCAGCTCACCTGGCGGTATTCTAAAATTATCTTAGGCAAAGGATGAAGATCTTGCAATTTATTTAGCTGCAAAATCAAGATTGTGAATTACTGACATACTTTTCTTGAAGTTATATTATTAAACAAACTTTAACAGAATACATTTTGGAGGAAGAAATTTTCTTGACAAGCTTAATGGACAAAATACTGGCTGAAGGATGATGTCCTTCAAGCAATCCCAGCCCAAGACCAAGGAAGCCTTCATTAGGAAGGCTGGAGATTACTCCTTCCCATTTCATTTCCACTCCTGTCCCAGACAGAGACAAAAAGACACATAGACATAAAAATTTTTCCACAGCAACTTTGATAACACTGGGGTGTGATGTGTGTGCATTTATTTGTGGCCCTCTGTTTGTTTTTTGTGCTATACAGCATCAATGAAGGAGAGAACACTATGGAAGTAGCCACAATACATATATATACACACATATATTTATACAAGCACAATCCAAGAGGATAATTTCTCCTGTTCATGCCTTAATAAAAGCTCCAGGAAAACTTCAGGAGAAATTCAAACTGTCAAATTAAAAACCAATGAAATAAAGCATATTTCTGATTACTTTGATTGTTAACTGCCAAAAATTCTGTTGAGAAACAGAATTAACTTATTACAATAGAGATTGGATATTTTTAAGTACAACAAAAAATACCTGGAACTACAATAATCCAGGATGAACAGCAGATGCAATTGTATTAAAATTTATATTTAAAATATAAGGGTTTTTTTTTTTGCTACCAAGGAGAAAGAAATAGTAGACAATTAATCTGAAGATGTTTATCTCCTGGAAGGTTTCATCCTACATTTCTGTAAATAACCAAGTCTCAGCAGTTGTTGGAAAGAGAATACTGGACTACATAAAAGCATTGCTTAGATTATAGCTACAAATCTTATGTTTCCACAAAAAGGTGACATAAATTCTATTTCACTGATGCCTCCCATTTCCCAAGGCTGTCACCCTCCAAGATAACGTGTCTGATCTATGAAACTCCTTCTCCTTGAGTACTGTATGGGTTTTATGCTTATACTGTTGAGGCTACTGGAGATCATATTTGGTAGTTCAGACGCTTGACTGAAAAGTAGAATTTCCTTCTTAAGAAATAAATATTACCCTTCTACTTTTCCCAAAGATGTTCATATTCAGCAACGAGTTGTGCACTTCACTCTAACTCCTATATAAACTAGAGCAATTCAATCGTGGCACCAAATCAGAAACAGGTGCAGCTGCACAGAGGCTTTTTCTCTTCTAAAAAGAATCTCCATTGCCATTATTATCTTCACAAAATTATTTTTTAATGATTTGAGAAGGGGATCAAGAGCACCCTCGTCAGTTTGCAGATGACATCAAATTGGATGGAAGAGTTGATCTGCTGGAGAGCAGGAAGGCTCCATAGAGGGATCTGGACTGGCTGGATCAGTGGGCCCAAGGGTCTGAGGTTTAGCAAGGCCAGGTGCCAGGTCCTGCCCCTGGGTCACAACAACCCCTGCAGTGCCACAGGCTGGGGCAGAGTGGCTGGGAAGGGCCCCGTGGAAAAGGACCTGGGGGTGCTGGTTGAGAGGGGCTGAGCATGAGCCAGGTGTGCCCAGGGGGCCAGGAAGGCCAATGGCCCCTGGCCTGGATCAGCAGTGGTGTGGCCAGCAGGTCCAAAGCAGTGACTGTCACCCTTTACTTGACAATGACTAATGTGTTCTCTATTGGACCCTTCATTTCAAAAAGGACATTGAGGTGCTGGAGCAAGTCTGGAGAAGGACAACAGAGCTGGAAAAGGGTCTGGAGCAGAAGTCTGATAAGGAACAACTGAAGGAGCTGGGGATGTTTAGCCTGGAGAAAAAGAGGTTCAGGGGAGAACTTCAGTAGCTGGTTTGTTTTTTCCCATCATGGAGTGCAACTTTCTTTTCTGGCATAAGTAACTGTAGCATAAATAGTACAATACAAAAACAAAGCACAATCATTAGAAAAATATTAGAAAAATCACAATTTCACTGGAATATAACTTAGAAGTTTTGTTAGATCATGCAGCTGGTTTTAAAACCTTTCCCTTTCTCACCACAATTTCTGAGGTGGATACGAGCTGTTGTATTTCAGTTCTCTGAAGTTTCTCACACAGCGTATGGAGCTTTAACTTATCAAATAGTACCTAAAGTCAGAAAAAGACAATAAATCTTTCAGTGTTTCAACTGTTGAAATAGAAAGAAAAATTATTGAGTGCTTGAACTTAAACAGAAAACAGGTTACAAGGTAAATAGAGCATACTGTAGCAAAGAGAACTAACACAGAATTTAAAATCTTTATTTTTGAGCTATTGAAGAAGTGACATTTACTTTAAAAAATGCATAATTTATGTACATACATTCAAATATGGATTATTCAACATTGTCATATTTACAAAAAAACTGATATGTCCTTCATTAAAATCAGAACATAATTAATAAAGAATAAGCCAGAAGTGGTAAGGATATATATGCTTTACAGTTCTTCTGTATCAATAAATCTATAGAACATATACCTTAAGTAGAAATAGTAGAACAAATGATACCTCTCGGAGCTGACAACTGCTGGTCAAAAGGAATCGTTCTCCAGCAACCTCATGAGCCTCCCGTTCAAGCTCTTTGAGCCGCAACTATAAATTACGACATCAAAATTATTCTGCTCACACGATTATTTTCTTCAATATCTGCTGCTTCCAAGGTTAATGAGAATATTGAATCTTGTTCTAAAAATTGAGTACTTGATATTGTGTAATCATTGCTGGCTATCAACATTTGGTTGAGTAGATTGCTTATATACTCCTTAATTTATATTGTTTTATGATCTGGGAAGGGGATTTATTGTAGTAAGGAGTACCAACATTTGTGGCTAAAGAATTTAAGTTACTAAAGCCTATAGAGATCTGTGAGAAACACAGCTATGCAAATTATTCTGATAAATTGTAATCTGTCAGACCAGTATGATTATCTAGTCAAATTTTATGTTACAAAATGAGATTCTCTTGTAGCTATTTTTATCAAAGAACACTCATTTAAAGAGTGTATTGTTCATAAAAAGAGGGAGAAAAGTCTATCACTTCTCAGGAAGGTGGTTACTGAAAACGGTAGGTTCAGAAACAGTCATGACCATTTTTACTCTACAACACATAATCCAAAAGGACCTGTGCATTTTGCAATGCAATTTCAGTTCTGGGGCAAGGCTGATGACTCAAATGTGTCTTTTTACTTGTGTAAATTTACTTGTGTAAATAGAGAAGTATTCTAAAATGTAAATGTAATTATTTATAACAATATACTAAAAACACCACACTATTACATAAAATGTGACAAAAATTCCTTCTCTTTTTAATCCTCAGTAAAAGCACAAAGATGATGCTATATAATTTTCAAGGAAAAAAATTAATACAGAATTTACCCCTAGAATCTCTGATGTTTTTTTCAGTTCTTGTTTGTTCACATATATTTTGTGTGTTTCCATCACTGTAAATACAATTTTAGGTTATGAACATTTATAATTCACAATTTCAAGCTTATGTTTTTCTTAAGACTGTAAAATGTAAACTCAAACTCACACAGCTGTTATGAGGCTAAGACAACATTTCATATTCAGAGGAATTACATTCCACTTGAGCATAGTTAGCAGCTGTGTGAAAATAGTGAAGATTCATATTTTGAACTGAACTTTCCTACCTGCCAGAATTTTGATAAGTGGAAGCTCTAAAGTGCAAAATAAGTTCCACAAACCTTGAGCCTGTAAAGTAAGATATAAATACATTCTTCAGTACCAGTATTTCCCAGTGAGCAGTATTTCACTTTCTGTATATTCCCTTTTTACATGACAACACGTTTGTGGCATGAAATACTACTTAGGGTAAATTATAGTATCTAAATGCTGTCACTTCTTTTTGTGGGTAATAGGAATTTTGCAATAGTAACCATTTTGTACAAGAATGCTAATAAAGAAATATACATACATCTTTTTTCTAAACATTTTATTTTTAAAGCAAGCTTCATTATAATAGGACACGGTTATCCTTTTTCCTTTGTTCACTTGAACAATTAGGCAACCATTCATAATTGATAACTTTGTTTTTATTAGGGAGAAAATAAGAGTTGAAAGGGTTATGTCCCCAGATTACTTACAGAGAACAGAAAGTCTGTTTTTCTAACCACTGAAGCAACCTGACTTGTCTAAAAACTCTTGTAGGCTCAATCTCAGTGTTCCTGTGCCTTTGGTGTTTCCCTGCTGCTTCCCTTCATGGATTGTTCACCATACTGCTGATAGCCACATTAACATGGCTCCATCACCTCATAGTCTAAGCCCTACACCTGCTACCAGCAACTTCAAAGATAATCCCTGGGAAACCATGATGCCCCTTCCACCAGAATCTGGGTGTATCCCTAAATTCTGGCACTTTTCCAGGCCTATGATCACAGGCAGAAAACACACACAACCCAACAGATTTCTTGAGATGCATTCTGAACTGCAATAAGGGGTAAAACAGAATAAAATAGTTCACTCGGAAGGGACCTACAATGACTATCTAGTTCCACTGCCTGATCAATTCAGGGCTCATTACAATTTAAAATATATAATTAAGGGCACTGTCCAACTGCCTCATAAACACTGACAGGCTTGGGCCATCAACCACCTCTCTGGGCAGCCTGTCCCAGCATGTGACCAGTGCTTGGTTAATGCAATCTAGAACAAAAGATATGCTGAGAGTTTTCATAAGCAAGAGGTGCATAGAAAAAAATATGTTCTACCTCTTTTAACACATTTTAGACAGTAATATATAGATTTAAAATACTAAAAGAAAAGTCAATATTCTGAACCTTTCCAGTTCTCAGAATCTTCATTTAGTTAAATGCAGCAGAGGAAAAGTTTCTCCTAAAGATTAACCTTGACACCATATCCTTCTAGAAAAAATGGTAAATTTAATGGGCAATTTATTTTAAATGTTGACTGTCAATGTAAACCACTGAGGACCTAAGCATTCTATTATTCTAATTTGAATGAAAAATATATTATTAACTCTCTTTAATTCAATGCTTACATAGTTATTCCTGAGCAAATTCTTTTTGTCTTACCTTTAAGCCATGAGCAAGGTCCATCATTACATTATAAAGCTTCTCCAAGTTCACACCTAGGTTTTGATACTGATATAAATAAGTCAAAAAATCAATAAATTTATTGCTAATAATACTCTAAATATTTTTAGCAATATATTTTTAAAAGGTATAAATTGTAAAAATGTGCTTTTCTGTATGCCTTCTGTTAACATTTTAGAAATATTGTTAGATCTCTGTCAAACCCAAAACACAGCACTAGACTATGAATACATCACTAGATAATGAACATTCCAGATTTTGCCTGTTCCTGTATTTACATTGTGTATCAAGTACAGAGTTTATTGATAAACTGCCTTTGACACTGAAGTCAGAGTTCCCTTACTACTTGTAAAATGAGGTAAAATTCCTTGCATTCTTTTTCTCATATAAGTACTGCCATTTTTGTGCCAGAACCATTCATTTCCTTCCCTTCTGTTCAGAGGTGCTCCACACAGCGTCAGTTCACCTCCTTCAATTGGCTAGAATACCATTTTGAAAAATGAAAAATACAAATACTGAGAAAGATTGTTAGCTCCAATAACATGACCATTAAAAATGAACTTAATAAAGACTGAGAAACAGCAGGCCTGGAAGGTAAGATGCAGAGGGCTCTCTTCCAAGCTGAAATATGCAGATCCACTGGTGATGATCCTTGTTCTAAGACAGTCTAGTCCATACTGCAGTGAAAAGTCACCAACTTGTCTCCAAGAAACCTTGTCCATACCAACTTGTTCTGGAACAAACGAGCTGTCTCTGAAATACAGACAGCTTGCTTGATCCCTTTCTGGAGGTGGAAGTGAGCCCAGTGACAAGCTGCAACTGACACCAAAATTCCTCATCAGTACATGCAGCAATGACAAGACCATCATAATGTTTAGCACCTGTTCCAGCAAATGCTTCAGGGAGTATGGACCATGACCACTTTGGCACAGCACCAAATATACAGACAAGCAGCAAGCAGCACATCCTTGTGCTAGAGGTGTGTGGGTGAGCTGTGGGCTACAGAATAAACCAGCAGTCATTCCAAGTACTGGGGTGGGTGGACAAGACTAGCAGAAGACAGGGAGCTTCACTGAAGTAGTGAGGCACAAGATGATTTATCACTTACCACAGATCCCTCTGGCAGTACAGACAACTGTTAGGAATCTACCAATAAAAACAGAGCAAGAAGACTGAAGAGATAAACCTGGCAAAGAACCAGGAGACACAGGAAGAAGTGGAACTCTCTGAGTGAAGAGAAAAGCCAAAAAAGGAAGTGTGAGAGTGCAGGTGACAAATTAAGGAATAAGGCATGGCGGGGGGAATAGGCACAGGATGTTACAAGGAGACATTAACTGTGAAGAAGTCAGCATAAAGACACTGGAGATGGCTGTGGCAAGGAAACAAACTAGACCTGAAGTAGGACAGGAAGGAAATAAAATTTTAATATTTAACTCAGAGCTGGGAATCAGGATAAAAAAGTTGAAAAATAACTAACAACAGATGTGATATCTGAAGAACAAAAGACTGAGTCAAGCTAAGGGAAGAGACAAGATTAAGGATGCTGACTCACAGCAAGGCCATTGCAAATAAAAGAACCATAGATAACTTCTGTCTGTTTGCTTGTCTATTCCTACACTTATAAATTCATTAAGCAGCTTCTGAACAACTGCAGTTTACAGCCAATGGTTTCAAGTAAACTGCCTCTGCTTTTCTCAGAAATGTCTACACTGATGGGTAAGTGCCAGTACAACCAAACTCTATCTATGCTCCAAGCCCACTTGGCATCTGTGGATTTGTATCCTACAAGTCCTATAATCATGGTACAATACTTGGTCTGAATGAGCAAGGCCTCTGAAAAGTGAATGTCAGAAAAAAACACATTATTTAAGTTGCTCTACATCATCTTATTCCTCAAACGACCTCTGAAAGCTAAAGTGCCCACAGTAGATCCCCATGGCCCAAAACAGATACAAATATTTTTTAACACTCAGGAAATAGAATTTCAATAGAAATACAGAGGATATTTGATACGATACAGGAAGAACTTTCCATAGTGCAGGGAAAAAAAGTACATCATGCATCCTCTCATGCTGAGAATTAAAATTCACAGATTTTTTCATACAAATGCTTAAAGGTTCACATTTGACTCCCTGCTGTTTCTCAGCCTATAATGTGGTGTGTACCAGCTGTGAAATTTAGCAAAATTGTTAATAACAATCAACTAAACAAAGGCTACAAGTGCTCAGGAACTGGAGAACAAACACAGCATTAGATATTTTGGAGAGCTGGAAATTATTTCACAGGAAGGTGAAGAGAAAAAATATAAAGCTCTATATTAATTCACGTTTTTACTGAACTTTACAGTTTTAAAGGAAAATTTTACAGCTGTTCCTGGAGAACGAGCTTCCATCTTGGTAAATGAAGTAAAACTCCCCTTCTCCCCTTTCTTTCGATTTCCAACATGTCACATTAATAGAATATTTTTTCCATTATAAAATATATCAATTGCCTTTCTTTTACAATATTTTCTAAGCAAAAGCAACTCTATTATAATATCCTTCCCTTCTTAACCCAAACAATTGAAAACAAACTACTTACTGATATATTTCTCAAAGTGTCTGTATCTGTATTTTCTGCTCCCTTTGAAAAAGGCTTTTCAAAATACTTCTGTATTAAACACTCAAAGGAAGGAACTGTGTCACTGGGGTTTATCAGCCATGCTGCAATCCTTGGATCTAACACAACACTATTGGCAACTACAAAAACAAGTTATTCAAAATACTTAAATTACCTCCCATACTGAAAAATAGCTCTAAAGTTTTGCCCATATTTCCTGCACACACACATCATAAAAGGCCAAGTATTTACTCTACAAAAATATTAAACATTGAATTTGCAGCTGTAACACATGGTCAATATCATGACTACACAGGAAGAAGTGCAGTATTGCACATTTTTGAAGAATATTGTTTTGTGAGGTTGGGGTGGATTTTTTTGGTTTTTTCAAGTTTTCAAATATAAGTAAACTTTTGGCTCCTTAGATTTACTGTAAAAACGTTCCTTTCTTAGAACTGAAAAACTTCAAGCTGAAAGTTTTTTGATGAGTCTCCCTCTGGTACAGTTTTCTTAATTTTGTTGCTAACTTGACTGATATCCACAAAATTGCCACTGGGGATCAGGGAGAGATTTACTTCCTAGTAAACAGACCAAGATTGTTAATGTATATATGAATTCACATATGGGTGCACAATGCACTGTTGCCAAAACTCAAGACCTTTTGTCCTTTAGCATCATATGTGCTTACACTGCAGCCTCATGCTCACATAGATGGATAGGATGGGCCAAGCCCAGCGCTGTTTCACTTTCCTTTGAACTACAATCTCAACATGTATCCTGCTGTTCCACAAAGAACAGGGGAAACTAATAACTAGACTGCTTTGTGATATATTCAAAGATAAACCTAAGTATCCTCTTCAGTAACCCCTAAGTTCAATCCATGACCTACAGGTACATTTCTAGAGAACTCCATGCTTCACAACCCTGCAGACTCGGTTACCTGGAAGCAAATTTTAATGTCCATCATGCAAGTTAAAGCTACAGGACTACTCTGAAGAGAATTTTAGGCATTTTGTTTGTTTTGTTGGAGCTTTATTTGCTTTTTTCATAGCAGAAATAATGTGTGAGGAAGCATCAAGTTTCAAAGTTTAAAGCCTAAATAAGAATTGTTTTGGTTACTAGAAACTGCAGATTCAAATCCCATGGATCAGGTACTATCAAGTACTTCCTGTTTGTACAAGTTATAAAACTGTTACTATTGCCAGTCCCATTATGGCATTTCTTTTCCCACCTTTCCCATTCCTAGTGCTGGTTTTTGTACAGATCCTCACTGTGATTTACTGAAACTTTTCAGATGCTGAACACAAGCTGATGATTCTCCAGAGAGAAAGCCCTTCCTGCAAGGTCACATGTACTTTTGTAACTCACTCAGCAGTAATTTCACAGAATTACTAGGTTGGAAGAGACCTTAAAGATCACCAAGTCCAACTCATGCCCTAACACCTCAACAATTTGATATATGGAACCAAAAAAAGCCCCAAAAAAACCCAAAACAAGAAAGACTTTATATTTACATCTTATGCTTGTTGCTAGTAATTGCTTTTAAATCCACAGAGAAGAGTTTTACTTGTTTCTATCTAAAGAACATGGGCCCATTCAAGTGATTCTTAATTCTGACAACTATGAGTATCTCTGGGATTTATTTTAGCCCTTCCTTTAAGCAGAGAAAGATTTTTCCTAGGGAATATGAAACATGAAGTAGTTTGACCTTTTCAGCTATAGTCAGGACTGTGTTGAAAGCTTTTGTTTCCACTGGCAGCTATCCTTAAGTTACTCAATTATTTAATTCCTACTCTGAGAAGAACACATTATCTTGACCTGCCAAGCCTCTGGTCACAACCTCCCCCAAGAAAGGTCTTCTTTTGTACTATACTAAATTCTGTTTTTTAATATATTACTTAACCACCAATTCAGTTATTGCTACACTCAGTGATTTTAACAGAAACACCAATAGTGAAGAGGTTACAGGATGAGATCACAGATTCAATACTTGCCTTGTTTCCAGCTGATTTCGTTACCATAAATTTGAAGGAGAGTCCTCAGGAAATCTTTTGCATTGAAGCAAATTATTGGAACTTTGCACTGCAGCATTTGAAACAACACTTGCCTGCACAGAAGTAGTTCATTAACACACACTATACTGCTCCTAGATTTAGTCAATCTATTTACTTTATTCTTTTACTTAGCACCTAATACTAAACAGTTAACCCAAAACATTTCCTTATTCCTATAAAGAAAAATAGTATTCTTTCCTACATGCTCTCACCAAGAAAATTTCTTGTGAGCTTGTTCTTGTTCCCAGAGAGATGACTGTTCAGTTTTTAAATAAATTAATTTATCAGTTTCATTTGCAGCATTCCAAGTATAACCAGTTGAAGTGTGACCTGGAGAATAAGGCTGATCAGTCTGATTCTTCACCAGCACAACAACTCCTTTTATTGATGAGGTAGAGGCCTGTTAGATATAATTACAATAGTGTTTCCTCCGACAGATTTTGTGCAATCTTATAAAGGTATTTTACAATATGAAACCTATTATGTACACTACAGTTACTGCATTCACCATTGACACAGTAGAAGAGCATGCAAGTGTTTCAGTCTTGAAACAAAAATCTTAGTGGTTTCATTTTCTCTAAGTTTTACTTGGTAGTTGAAAATTAAATGTAACCTAACTGTACATTTTGGGATGTCATACACAAAAGTGCTGCCAGTGAATGTGGCTTTGTGATTATTAGTCACATGCACATTCAAATGGTTCTACAGAAGTAACTCTAAAGAAAACCCATCCTTCACTAACCTGCTCAGAGTTGAGCTGTGAAGAACCATCTTGAAATATCATAGTAGTGACAAAAGCTGCTGCCTGTTCTATAGTTGCAAGAAGTTTGCTTTTTTCTTCACATTCTAAACTGCTGGTATCACAAGGATACTTTCCAGAAGACTTTATTTGTCCAGGAGTACAGCTTCTTTCATGTAAGAACATGTAGGTATTTGCATGCATTCTTCTTGTTTTCTCTGAACAAGATGTAGGCACGTTTTGCTTTCTTTTAAGAGGAATAGCTATTTTGTTTTCCTCATCCTTCAGGTTTTTTTCTTCTACTGAAAGACTCTTTTCTTGACACCCCCATTTTGGGAAGCCTGAATCCTGGTAACAGCTCAGTATTTTGGTATCTTGACAGCCAAGTATTTTATCCATATGCACTGTCCTGACTATCTGACCAGCAGTTCTTTTTTCTGGGCTGACAGTTGTTTTTAATATGGCAATTCTGGAATCACAATCCTCCTAGGAAAATCAGAAATTTTTAGCAAACCGACTATTTGACTTATAAGGAGAAACTAAAAACTGCACTAAGTTAATTTAGATAAGCTTTCAAGAAAGCAAAATTCTATGCAAAACTGTTGATACTAACAAAACAGAGCCAGGTTAGGGGAACCACATTACATAAACCAAAATTCAAATACTTATCAGTAGAGATTTTGTTGACATATACCATTTACATCCACAACCACTTACTTTTTAACATATTAGTCCAACACTAAAAACGGCAAATTAACAACTGTAAGAGGTATCTAGTCCAGTAGCCTGTCTTCCACAGTGACAAGGTTATTATTATATGAAGAGGGAAGAGACCCTTCATCTTTAGCTTCAACATTCAGAACTCTTTTCATGACAGTTTTGTTTTTTACAGAACTTTTGGCAAGGGACTTTAATGACTGCTTTGGAATCTCAAATATGTGAATCAACTGGATCCCTTCAAGGAACTTGCAGGATTGCAAGACATAAAAAAAATACATTAAAAAGTTGCATTGAACAGTATGAGCTGTATGAATAAGTATTACATTCTATTCTCCAATATAATCCAATATACCCAGAACAGTTTTTCCTACTCCAGATAGCCCCTGGATCCCTCTACAGCAGCATGCTACTAAACAGCATTAAGCAAGATGCTGCATGGTAGTGCTTGAATTCTACTCCTCCATCCTTATTTCCTTCAGAAATTTCCTTGCTATGCTACTGGCCCTAGTGCTTTCTTACTACTTATTTTGCTAGTTTCTGCTACAAACTCGTCAGCTGAAATAGATCCTCTGCCTTGATTTCATGAACAATTACTCTGGAATGGCAGTGATCCTTCCAAGATTCCCCAAGGTAAATGTGTTTTTAACTATTTACAGATAGAGTTGCATCTTCCCTCAATACTTTTTATGCCTCAATCACCAATAGGCCTTAGAGGAGCTGGCGAGCTTTCTACTCCTGAAGCATTAGAAAAAATTATGTATTAGCGATGCATTTGCAAGCTTTTCCTCAAAGCTAGTTTGAACTATAACACTGTATATTTCATTTAACTTAGTCACATGAGGCAAGTAAAGAATAATATAAATTCTGCTAAGCTCACATTTCTGCATTATGCCATTTTTTAGTAGTCTCCTTCATACTGTCTCTTAGCCATACTACTTTTTCCAGACACAATTTAGTATTCATTTAAAATAATCAATATTCTGCCTTGAATAAATCCCTATACTACCTTCAAATGTTCTGGGTTTGGAGGACAATTCCATACAATTTCTTTTAAAAGCTTCTTTGATTTGATATAGTTTTCTTTTTGAAAATTAAGCATTAATGTCTTGCCTATCTTTCAATGCTTCCAAAAGATTATAGTCTCTGTAAAAGCACTTGCCAGCAGGGAAGATTTTGCACCTGATCTCACACAGAATCAAATAAAAACAGTTTTTTCTCATGAGTTCTCTAACTGTTCCACAAAGCAGTTGTCTCCTAATTTTCAGTTGAAGCACCATGCATAAGCTTAATATTCATCGACTCCACTGGCAAGTGACTGAAGTCTCTCATAATTACTGTATTTTGGTCTCCAATAGCCCAGTCTCATCCAGTTCATCTGCTGTCATTACCACTGCAAAAACTGAGTGCTCCTCCCTCCAAAAGAACCACCAGGTGCTGCTGTTCAGGGGTCCCTCCAGTCCCCAAGATGACATTTTTCACTGATCAAAGGCTACTGTCCACCTCCATCCCATCTGTATTGATTGAGCAAGCCAGAATGACAAAGCCAGTAAGTCTGGGGCTTTTTTATGGTTTCACAATATTCCTCAAGCCAGTTTCCATATTCTCAAACTTTAGAACTATACAGTCAAGCGATGAAAAAGGCTTAAGACAGCTTTAGATCATACTTCACAAGATCAACTCTACAGCAAAAGTACAATTACAAGGTTCTAAGTAAATAGGAAAAGGAAGTTAATTCAGCTTCTGCTACTACCAAAATGAATAGTGGCTGTTCTGAATGAAGACAAATTACGCACTTTTGCAATGCTAATTGCAAAAAAAAAAAAAAAAAAAAAAAAAAAAAAAAAAAAAAAAAAAAAAAAAAAAAAAAAAAAAAAAAAAAAAAAAAAAAAAAAGTGGACACTATAAAGTTACCAGAAGGGGAAAAAATAATATCACAGAAGGGCCAAATGTTTAAGAGCCATAGAAAGACAACTAATTCACTGAAGTGTATTCTCCAGACAAACTGCAAAGTTTTATCATTTTACACAGCAGAATTTAAATTAGGACACTCTAGTAATTATAGAACCAGGAATAAGCAATTCTCTTTTAAAGTTTCAAAAAATATGAACGAAGGAATTTAATTATCAAGTCAGAATAATACAGCTGGAACTACAATTAACCACAGAGAGAAACAGCAGCTTCCATGAAGAACTGACCTTCTATTAGAAATAATGACATGGCTGGAAGTAGAAAAAATTACTCCCAGGAGGTAGTTTCATAATTTATATCAATGTAGGAAGATCTCATTAGATGTAGTGAGTCAAAATTAGAGTGTCACCGTTACAAAAAGGGGCTCCACTCCTATCCATGTGCACCCACAGCTGCATGAGCGCCTGTGAGCCAGTGTAAGTTGTAGGAAACTATCTCGTTCTACACGAGGCATCGGTTTTCTGCATCTTGAGCAACCTGAATGGAATTGAAGTGTGCAACATGCACGAGAGTCAGGGTAAGGCAGACTCTGAAATTTGCAGCTGGGATTAGTTGCAGCATCTGCAACTCATCCATCAACTTGATGGATTTTACAAGCAAAGCCTGAGCTGGGACTGCCACAGTTACCTGTTCCCACTCTACACTGGAACTCACTCACATGCACACCAAACCAAATGCAGAGAAATTATTAAATCCAAAATTAAGCTTCCTAATACAAAATAATTTTTCATATGAATCAGCTCACTTTATGATTGTTCAGTAACAGGAGTTTGAGAATATTTCTAAACTCTGGTGACTGTCTGAATGTGGCAACCTCATTCCTGATCAATCTGTCATAAAAGACCAGCTTCCTGTGAAATGGGAACAGAAGTTGGGCCCAGACTGTCATAGATAAATATAGGTCAAGTGTAAAATAAGACAGAGGAAGTTACCTGAACTATGACTGTATAAAATGTATCATGGTAAAGCTTGTTATGAAAGAACCAATCTATAACTTCAAACCTGCTAGAAGACTGCTTTTAGTGGTTTTCAATCTTAGTAAATGCTTGCCTTTTCATTTCCCAGATGTGCATCCTTATCACCTAGTTTATCTTTCTTTGTCTTCTCTATACCTTCAAAAAAAGAAGAAACCATTTACAATACAAATTAATCTGCAAGCAGCCCATATAACTTAGGTTCATACAGGGTTATATTACTGACACTTTTACCAAACCTGAAAGGATTGTAAAAAAATTTCCCTCGACAACCATTTATCAAGTTAGCATCAAGTTAGTATTCATGCTTAAAAAGGCCAAGCAGGTTCCAAAATATGCATATGTAAAAGACTGCTCTGTCACTGTTAAGAAAAAATTACTTAAAATTCACTACAAAGCAGAAAAATATTTTCCATTGAATTCAGAGGAAGCATTACTATAATTCTGTAATTACATGCCTCTTTCAAGAAAACACAACTCATTTTGATCATAGTACAGCTGGGGGTATGAGCACGAAGGAAAAAAAGAAGAAAAATCCAAACTCTAGAAACTTTACATAGCTTAACTGTTTTCTAGGAATTTGGCAGCAGTATCTCACAAAACCTTTGTTCTATAAAGCATTATTTGTATTTGAGTTTAGCGTATCGTGTTTTACAAACTGACCATGTTTCACCTGCAGGGGATAATTTTTCCACATTGCTCATCTTGCAACAGAGCAGGCCTTTTAAGACCAGGTAAGAGAGAGCAAGGAGATCTCAGACCTGACAAACTGGAAGATAAGATGACAATCCCACGAGAAGCAGGCAGCCACCAGTGCTGGGTCTGACACAGAGCACAGCACAGCTGGGAGTCTGGGTCCCCACTGAACTGCCAGAGACCTTTAGTCCATGGCTCTGAAAATACAGATTCTGCAGTTCCAAGGTTTTGCAAATGCACCTCAAACTCACACCATGGCAAATGAAACAATTAGGATATGTGTTTCTTTTCTGCCTTAACACTGTCCACAAGTCCCAAGAAGAGGAGAAGCAGTGAAGGAGCCAGGTGTAACAGGCTAGGAGTAATTACCTCAGTGGGTACAGAAAGGAACAGGGAAAAAGAGAACTGCCCTGAAGTGCAGGTGTCTCCAGAGTTTGTAATTAGTTAGGATTCCTTTATGTCTAGATTATCTTATTGCCCACCTTACAGGCAAGGTATGTATTTTGTCTCCCCATAGTGAGTACAACACTGAACTGCTGCTGTCAGCTATGAACTGGCATTACCAGCAGCAAGATACTTCCTGAAACAAAACAATGGTATTGACCAAAGTCCAACAAAGTATAATGTGATTTATTTCAATTTACTAGAACTGTTCTAAAAAACACTTGTCTGGGCAGATCAAGACCTTTGTCTACAGAAGACAATAAGCTCATGCATGTTGGTGTAAGTGTATAATCAGACACTGAGCTCCAGCTCAAACTTCTAACCTAAGCTGTTAGAACAGGCAATATGGCACAGCTGTGTTTGTAGCATCAAACCTTTTACCTTTGTTTTCTCAACACTTTCTACAACGAGATAATAAATTAAGTATTATAGCATCAAAGTTTACAGTCAATGCTTTTGTTTTACAGCTAGACACTTTTCCTTGACATATCCAATCCCCAGAGAAGGTGATGAGGATTACATTTCTCTCCTCCAGCACACAATGATCAGTATGACAGGCATTGAAGAGCTCTGCAACTTCCCGTTTCAGAATTATGACAAAGTATCACCAGATGGCAGCAGAAACCCGTCCCTGCCTTCCAGCTCCTCAAGGCTTGATGGAAAGATTAGAGCTCCACTGCCAGGATAATCACAGAATTTCACCAACTAGGTCAACATTGCAGATATTTGTTCTGAGCCCAATATTTACCTTCTAAAGACAAACATTTTTTCCATTAAGTAGAAATAAAAATTTAAAAATCTATAAAATACAGTTCAATGCAGTCTGAAACAGCCCAACTAACATCAGAGGTTTGCAGTTGTTTTAAGAGAGGTAAACTTTTTACAGACCCACACTAAAGCTATATATACATATAAATATGTATGTATAGGCAATGACAAGGTAGCAAGAAAAGTAAAATATCAAAGTGAGGCTAAAAAGAAATCAAAATTTCTTTAAAATCATTTGGGTTTCAGTCCCAGATGTACCATATACAATGTAATGTTTTAAAATTAACTCATCCCCCATTTCTTTAAATGTGCATCACTGATTTACACAGTGATGAACTATTACCTTTGTCACTGCTACACCACCAGGCTCCACTGATCCCATGTTTTACTGAAAGAGCCTGAACCATAATATACAACAGCAGCTGCAAAAACCACAGTGTACACAGGAATAAATGTTAGATTTAAAGCTTATTGATCAAATAATATTTCAGGATCTAGTTCTCAGGAGAAAACAGACAACTGAAATTAAACGAAACTCTTAACTTTCTACTTCTTTCCAGAGCCACAATTTGACTGACTGTGACTTGCACAGAACTGAGAATAAAACCTGCACCTTGTAAAACCTCCCTAGTGTCCACAATGTTCTAGATCTGCTAGGCACTTTTAACATTACCTCTTTTGTTCTTTCACTGGGACTTTTGTTCACTCCTCCCCCCAAGAATTTCACAAGGAGCACACTGTTAATGAACATGTGTTTTAAGGACAGACATGAGTCTGGAGAGCTCACAGGATTCCTGTTAAGTTTCTAGTTCCTCCAGCGATCTTTAAATATCCAGTCCAGAGTCAAGTTAATGTATGCATCTAATTTACAACATTGTAGTACTTAAGGAACAGTTTGAAATTCCCATATAATCCTGTACCACATAGCAGGAACAGAAAGAAAAAATATTGGTACCATTCCTTGCACTCACATAACATTATTGAATCGGCAAAGTCCCAGCAAATGTCACAGTTACAGCTTAATTCCTCTTCTAAACCTGTTAACATAAAGGCTCACCTTTTCTTTTTCTCTATTTAAAAACAGGGACTAGATGTTTGTTACTGTTGAGTTTCAATTTTTCAACAGAAAAACACAGGCTAAATTTTACTCACTCTGGTTATTTTCTCTGTTAGTCTGAGCTTCTACAGGAATAGACTGCAAAGCTGTCATAATCCTCTGAGCAATATTAGATAAAGGCACTTTAGAAATCTCACATCCTATGTACTGCTCCATTCTAAAGTTAAACCTAAACACAGAACACACAAATTATTAATTTATTAGGGGCATGAGTAATTCTTACTTGTATTCTGTTGAAATTAAAGACAAAATATAGTGAACATGTTTAGCCCTTCATTCTCAATAGAAAATTACATTTGCTCCCAGACATACTGATCAGTATTGTATCAGAAATAAAAATATACTAATTTATAAAAACAAACCTCTTTGAAATAGTGTTTTAATATACCAATTAAAAATCAGCATTCCTAAGTACAGTTAACTTGTACTAAAAGAAAATAAAATCTGACAAATAAAACAAGAAGTCTGTATGTCTGAGATACTTTCCCTCTCCCTCCCATCTTTAAACTAGGCTGCATCTCGCATGTGCATACAGTTAGTTACTAGTGCTTGGATTTTATTCAGAAAGACATAATTAACTTTCAAGTAATTGCCAAAATTAAGCCAACACAAGATTAAAGAAACAAGCAAGACTATCACAATATACAGCCATTAGTTATGTGCTGTTTCAGAAAATATTTATCATTAAAGACCCCTACTTTCTTAAATTTTGTATAATTGATGCATTCAAATACTGCTATATATTGGTAACTTTAAAATAGCTACTATAGCTTGTCAATTTAAGAAAATGGGCAACAACATTTATCGTCTCTACAAGTTTTGACCCCAGCTACTGTTGTTGTAAATGCTATCCTTTTCTGAAAAGGAGCTTTTTTTCCAGCTGAACTGTCTATATTTTGTAATATCTACAAAATACTTTGGAGAATCCTTAGGTACAACACACTCTGGAGAATCACAAGTAATGGTGTCCACACTGATGACTTCTTGTTGTTTTACAGTTAGACTAGAAGAATGTGTAAAACTTGACACAAACACAAGAGAAACATCCAACATTTAAAAAAATACTTCAAGGATCCAAGGTGTACAAATCAGTCACTCTAGCAAAACCTGCTGTTCACTAAACTATTCCTATACAAGTGGGTAGCTGGAGTCCTGTTACTCTCATCTTCTCCCACTAGGTCCAGTACATGAGCACATTGTCAAACTTAACCATCAGCAAACAACAGTTCCTCTGCCTCCTTTTTCTTGGCTTAAGACCTTACAAACTTTAATAGCTACAAGTGCAAATATTGTGTCCAATTCAAAGAGGAATATCCATCATGCTGCATTAGCACTGGCTATATCCATCTAGTTCTAATCAGTAAGCATGTGAGAGGTGGCATGACTTCCTTTTCCCTGACATTCCAAGAGTCAGAAGTACAATCCTTCCCTGCACTCAACTCCTCCTAACTCTATGCCCAAGAGCAACACTTCTTTCCTACACAGGGTTAAACTGTTCCCTGACTTCTTGGGCTGGGAAGCAGCAGTCACAGCCCCAGGGCAGACTAAAATGAGAACCCATCAGACTAAATACAAAGCAGACACCATGACTGAGAACAGGCCTAGAAAAACCCACACAGATTCACCATAAATATTAACCACACTGCACTGAATTGATGGAGTTTGGCATTTAATAATATACACAAAGTATAGAGTTAAGCAGCATGAAATCCAGACATAAAGATATCCAACCAGTAAGCTAAAAAAATTACACGTTTAAAAATAAGTTATAATCACATAGAAGTTCAAAGTGTGTCATCAAAATAGTTTTAAGACTACTGTTACTGAATTTAAACAAATATACTAACCACCATCTATATGTACAGTGCTTGAAAGCAAGCACAGCTGATCCCATCAAAATATAAAAGACTGGAAGTTACCATACTATAAAAGCCTATTTAGTTCCACTGGTATATTAGGAAGCTATATAAAAAATTGATAAATGGGCTAACAATGAAAATGAAAGCACAAGTATGAAAGCATCAGCACTCTGAATTGAAATGCCTATCATTATAAATTATAAGGCAAACTCAGAAGTACAAAAGATAAATTTTAAATTCTTGTTCACTGACAAGCCACGATAAATATAGACTGGCTTCAATGGAGAAGACAGGCCATAAGTTAAATTAAGAGATATTAGAATGGTCTTAAAACAGATGGTCTTGGTAGTTAAAACAGATTCTGATACATATTCCAACACATTTCTAATAAAGTCTTCTTAGAAACAAAACCAAGTCTTCTTAGAAGAACTGTAAGGGAAACAAGAATGGAATATCTGCTGCCTTTGAGAACTCTCCTCTTCACTATGAGCACATTACATCTTGTTCCAAGTGTCAGCCTTGACAGTTTATTCCATAAATTCATAGACAGTTTACATTGACATTTTCCTTTCTTATGAGTATGTTGCTCTTTAGACATTAAGAACTGCACTGGTTCTGAAGACCACTGGCTTTAACCTGAGACTGCTGCTCAATCTTTTCTACCATCTCTTTCAACTGCTCTTCATCATTGAAAAAATACACATACAAGTCTCTTTCCATCTGAAGCAGCCTATTGGACTCTAAAAGGCTTCTCTTCGACTTCAGGTCAGCAACCAGATCCTTAAGGAGACGATTTAGTTCACCTAAATCCACTTCCAGTTGGTGAAACTGCTCACTAAGTTCCTAAGAAAATAATAAAAGACAAAAAATTCTTACTTTTCTATTGTTAATATACTAGCTGAACTAGAAACATGAAAGGTTTTTTTGCTTTGGGAGGCCATTTGTTTGTAATCAAAACATAATCACAAAAAAACCCAGAAAACAAAGTTAAGGGATTCCATTCAATGTATGTCATTTTTGAGCTCCATGTAACAGAACTCATATTGTATTATGCAAATATGATTTAATTTACTTCTTGACCAGATGAGTTAAGACCATAAGAATCTGAACCTGACCTAGAGACATGAGTGAATTACATTTTCTATCTATTACAAGTCTTCATTGCTAGTCAAATCTTAAAAGGGAACAAACAAACAGAAAAAAAGCACAACAAAAAGCCAAATCAATTTTACAATTAAATCATTAAATTACAGCTACAACTTTCCCAGATGGCATTCTTGTGATAGCTCAGTATAAGCAGACTAATCATCTACTTGCACATTATTTCCTTATTAAAGGAATTACTTTTCTTGAGAAACAGTACCAGTAGAATGAGATGTCATATTTTAAGAAGTAATTTAAATCAATAGGAAGGTATTTGATTTTAAAAATGCAATCTCTAAATGTACTGTTCCAATTACAGTCTCATTTTTAAATAAAAACTGTGCTATATGCTGTAAATTCATTTGACAGATGACTGTTAAATATATTTTTATGTAATTAACCAAGAAAGTATTATGTAACAGATTTCCCTTGATGCATTTTTGAGGTATCTACAAAGATTTAAAAACCATAACAAGGTGCATTTAACAAACCCTGTTCCCATTTAAAAGATGTTCTAAACATAATATCTGAGAGCTGTGTAGCAGGATTGTCCTACTACAGCTGTACTTCAAAATTCTGGTATTTTTATTTTGTCCAAATGACACATCCGTGGCCAGGCTTTTAAGGGGCCAAACCATACTATTGGGGTCTTAGAGGTAGTAGGGGAGAAAGCCCATATGAAATGAAAAGCAACTTAAATGAATTTTCCAGTGACACCCTACCCAGACAAAGGATCTCCCACACCACAAGCCTACAGGAATGCAGGACTGCACATGCCTTTGAAAGAAATTGACTTAGATGCAAGAGTTTGCTCAGAAACCAAAAAATTATTACCTGCCAGAATTTAAAAAAATAGAGCACTAGCCAAGAACAATGTACCTGTTCAGCATCCATCATCCATCATCATTATGTTAATAAATTTGTTGCTAATTAGTGGGGACATTTGCATGCCTTCACACTATACTTTATCAGTAAAAGAACATGACACACAATGCAGTAATTTAAATAAAATCATGAAGGGCTCACCGGACTCCGGAGCTGTATCTGATTTGTTCCATCATAGAGAGCACCACGAAGGGCATCCACATCCCCTTCTAGGCTGGACAAAAGGAGAGACTGCTCCTGAGCAGATGCTGCCAGCTGATCTTCTACTCTAGCACAGTCCTGCTTTAACTTCTGAGCCATCTGCTCCAGGTTTTTGTATGTTTTAAACAATTGTTGTTTTTTACTTCCTCCTTCCAGAAGCTGATACAGCCTGTAACAAGTGAAGTTAGACACACAAATATTTTAACTTTCCTAAGCACTCTATCATCATTAGTTAAGAGAACATGTCTGTGTTGAGAAGTCAGAGGATGAGTAAGGTAAGTTCTGTTGAGGGCACTTTTACAAAACTGCTATATCTCCCACTGATTTCAGGATTCCATCTATATATAGTACTGATTAACAGGAATCCAAAATATTTCAATGTCCAATTAGCAGCAAGGAAATATTGAATTAACAGTAAGTACATCATGAATGCAAACAGAAACTGACAGTGTGGTTTTGCCAACTATCTCCTGATACTTCAAGAGCTGCAAAGTAACATGGATTTTAAGTGCTGAATGAAAGCAAACTTCAATGGCCAATGAGAAATAAGAACAAGCTTCATAACATTTTCAAGCTTACTGAAGTATTTCCTGTTTTCTATCTGTCTATGAAGAGACTGCTGAGAAATTCTCCAATGAGTTATATGTCATGCAAAAGATAGCTTTACACACTATAACGAAGTGTACCCTTACACTGCATCAGGAATGGGCCCAATATGATTACAGACAACATTACATAGTCCAAATGTTACTACCACCTCTGCATAACAAAAATCTTCAGGAGCTAATATAAAACCAGACTGGCTTTATTAAGAGAATAGGCTGTATTTCAAAAGTAACTGAATGTCTTTCAAGTGTCTTCTGTTTACAAACCCTATAAAGTTTTAAATTCTTTCAACTTGCCTTCCCTTAATCAAAAAAAAAAAAAAAGTAGCCAGAAACATTCAGTGATTTGTAGACTTTATAATAAACCTGAACAAAAATGTAACAAGCTGACACAAACACACAATAGGAGTAAAATTAATGCTGCCTAATTCTTCCAGTTATTCACTGTGCCCAACCATACTCAGCTATCACTTATCAATTATTAAAAAAAAACAAACACTTAAAGCACCATTCTATAGAAGGAGGTAAAGTCTTACAGTAACACACCTATAATTATACAATTTATCTCATCAAAAGGTTTAGTCTTGATGGATGAGCAGCACAGTACACATCCTTAACTGTATCTATCACCTGAACTTTAAGGAGACCTAACTATTTAGATGGTGAAAAACCAGGCTCCTACATGGGTGCCAGGACACTCAAACCAGATGGCAAATGAAGCAGTAAAAAGGAGCTACACACATTTCATAGTCCAAAGGAGTCATTCCTCTCTCCTACCACACGGGGGGTTTTTGTGGGCCCAGCCGATGAGGCCGTGCACACAGCCCGGGAAATCACCGCTATTAACATCTACATGTCTAGAGCATCAGGAGGTGCTAGATAAGACAGGCTTGGGTTTGAACATTCTTCATGTTATGGATATTAATTAGGAATGCTTCAGCAATATTAAAAAGACTGATAATTGAACAGTTTTTCCTCAGGCAAACCTGAAAAGAAGTTCAAAGGACATGGAAGAAACAAGTTTCACATCTTGAAAGCTTCAGTTCTTGAAAATTCAAAATTCTAATTAGCTACAGCAAGTACATAAGAACTTGGCAGCAGGCAAGGCTTACCTTGCCTGAGCCTTCATCTCCCCAGTATTATTTCAAAGAATATATTTCAAAGAAAGTCCAAGTCCAACAGTGACTATAATACTTACCTGCAAGATAAACCATCCTCTGAACTAATAGTGCTCCTTGGCTTTTCTTGTTCTGTTCGTTCAGCTATCAACTGTAGTCTTTGCTGTAACTCATCAGTGCTTTTTTCCAGAGATTCTACCAAATTCTCAAGCTGGCAGCTGATCTCCTGGTGTTTCTTCAGCTCCATTTCACAGGCCAGCTGAATAAGTTCAAACGATGTTTTCTGTCTTATCAAATGCCTGCCTATTTTATCTTGAATCGCAGCATAACAGTCCTGCCGAGCAATTAGGTGATCTAAGTATTCTTTCACCACTGGTGCAGTCAAAAGTTGTGCTTTCTTCTTAAGAAGGGGAAGCAGCTCTTCGTTGTTTATCCGAGCTATGTCTTGTTTAATTGCTGAAATTTCAGCACTTAAACTAGATATTTTAGCATCAATGTTCTCCTGTTGTCCAATATCCTGCATAAAACAAAATATTTGTGAATTTCTTCATGGTTCCTGCCAAACTACCTCCCAAACATTTCTTCAGTTCATATAAGACTCATTTACTTATGCTATATTTAGCTACAAAATTAAATGAAAACTCAACAAATAGTTTTACAGAATTTTACAAAATAATGCAAATACAGATGAACAAACTAGATAATAAATATATTTCAGCAAAAAGTAATTCCCTGCCAAGGTCAGGAAACAGTTTATTGGGTTAAAAATAAAAGAGCTGCATTTTACCTACCACCTATTTCAAGCATGCCTAACTGAAATCTCACAAGCAAACAAATTTTTTTCTATTCAGTCAGATATCAAATCAATCTTTTTCAAATTACCCTAATCAATTAAGTCCTGTATACTAGTCATCCATAAATGAAAATATACAAACTGACATGATGCCTCAAGTTATTCCACGACTGGCATATGCAAATACCTTTCCTTTCATTATGATTTCTTCACAAATTCCACTAACCACATCTGCCTGTCACTCACTCGTTGAGAGACAGGGCTGGGGGCCCTGTCTGGGGCTTCAACTATCAGATTCATTTATTTGGTACAAATACTTGAGTTTCCAAGTGAGTGAACTAAAACTTTTTAAGCTTATGCTATGTAATACAAACACGAATACATTTATCATATTGGCTCCCTGACACCACAAAATTCCAACCAAAGCCAAGATACTGTTTACTGTGCAAAGAGCCTGTTCTAATTTGAAAATTCAAAGTTAAACTAAGCTAGAAAGATACTATAAATTCTAAGATTTTAAAGGTAGTGATGCTGGAAAGTCGAATTAAAGGTACTCTACCACACTGAAGAAATTACAACTATGGGAACTGAAGATATTTCACAAGAGCCGTTTTGTGGGCAAGACTAAAACTTCATAAAAATTCACTACATAAAACAATTGAAACAGTAACTCAGCAATTCCTTTCACTAGATCCAGTGGAACTGGCCTGTCTGTTTAAAACTCCAGTACCTTCTTTCACCTTTTGTGTCTTACCGTGTCCAAGGACTGCAGCAGGCTCTCTGCACACTGGATAGCTGAATTCATGCCCTCCTCTTCAGCTTGCAGCTGAATTAGCTGGTTCTGACCACAAATATATGCTGCCTGGAGCCTGGCTATCTCTTGCCTCTCTTCACAAAAATCATTAGGCTCATCAAAGGGGACTTGCTTGATTAAATCTTCAAGTTGAAAGCTGCCTTCATGTGAGTTTTCAGTGCATTTAGACATACCTTCATATAAAAGCTTTTTTATGTGTGATGTAAGTGCTGCAGTGTTTTGTTCTTCCACAGACAAGTATTTGTCCAAAGAAAGTAGGGAAAAAAACACTGGATGTGTATCCGACCCTTGTTCTGAATCTGAAGCAGTGAAAAAAGAGGCAAATTCCTTCACTGCAGCTATAAGAGACTGCAGTTCATTGTCAAGCTTATTATTTGCCGCAGTAAACACTTCCAGTCCTTCTTTCCAATCCTTCAGTGCTTCTTCCTCTCTGCTTTGGAATGTTTGTAACAAGTGGCTGTTTGTAGCAACAAACAGTTGAAGCTTATTATGCCGATGAATTTGAAGATTTTTTAACTTCTCAAGATCTTGAAGCTCATCCTCTAATTTCTCCACTTCTTCCCTGTCCTCCTCTTGGCTACTGTTCGTTGAACCCATGGGCTCCAAGGTTTTAAGGACTTCATCCAGTGCATTTCCTTCCAAAACAGGTTTACCACACTGGAGAAGATTATCAAAATCCTGCAGTTCTTCTTCAGATACCACATGCTGCCCATTTATGTTTCTACAAAACCACTCCAAAAATGAATTGTCTTCTGAAGACTCAAACATCCAGTCAAAATCTTCTCCATTAAGCTCATCAGCCTTTGGATATCCAATTTTTTTAAGAGTGTCCACAAAATCCTTCCCACAGCTCATGATGAAAATATTTTTGTAAGTAGAAAAGATCCAAACACATTAGAAAGTCTGGGGTATTATTCCAGCTTTAAATTTTTTGCCATTTAAAATGAATATTCAGTTTTTTAATAAAAAGAGTCTGCATAGGAAAAGGGAAATGTCAGATCACAAAAAAATCAAAACAAGCAAAAAAAAAAACCCTGAATGCTGTTTTGGATTACAGTGGCTATTCAAAGACTAGAAACTAATTTTAATTTCAGATATCTTAACATGTTTTGTTGATCAAATCAGGACATATTTTTGTATCAGTTACATCCCAGATCATTGCAAGCACTTACATTTTTCCTTAATTCATATAAACTTATTATGGAAACAGTACATATCATTCATTTAAAAGTAACAGGTGTTAACACTGAGCAATTCATTGGCCTGCAAAAGTGATTTTACTTAAATGGTTTTCCACACATTCATTTAAAAAACCACCTACAATTATTTAAATCTTCCAAAATGATCAGGGTTTTCAGTTTGTTCTAAAAACAAAACTACAGTGATGTTACACTGCACTTCAAGATCTCAGCTATAAGGGTTTTTTTACCTCAACAGCAAGCAGAATCTTGTCTTCTAAACCTTTGCTTCAATGTTTCCTCTGAAAATGGAACAAGAAATACTTTAACAGATAAATACCTCAACATAAACCTGCAGATTTTTTAATTGATTATAAAAAAATAAAATCAAAAGCAGTGTAAAAATACTCTTGTGGAAACGGTCACAACTTACAAGAAATGGGAGTTTGCTGCTTTTCTGTTTCATAGCAGACAAATAATCAGCTTTGGATCCTATAGCACATGTAACAGACAGCAAAGGATATCAAGCTATCAACAGTCAGGAGGCCTTGTCTGCAATACTGTGGTAATACTAATAGACCTTTTTTTAGTTTGATATTACATAACACTTTGTTTCTAAAACATACATTTCACCTGAGAACCCTCTCTGCCCTCCTGGAGCAGTGAACAAATAAAACCATTCCTCTAAAGCTCCCCACGTGTCTGACTTAGCTCAGAGACTGCAGATGACACAGAATGTTGCGAGTTTCGTGTCACAGGGCAGCGCTTCAAGCGTCCTCTGCCCTCAAAATAGATAAATATGGGTGCCAAGAGGATGCTGCCACACTCTTTTCAGTGGCGCCCACTGACAAGGAGTAACGGCCGCAAAGTGCAACACAGGAAGTTTTGACTTTAACATGAGTTGAGTTCGAACTTTACGCTGAGGGTGGCAGGGCACTGGAACAGGCTGCCCGGAGAGGTCGTGAGATCTCCCTCTCTGGAGACATTCCAAAACAACGTGGAGGCGTTCCTGGGTAACCTGCTCCAGGTGACCCTGCAGGAGGGTTGGACTGGATGGTCTCCAAAGGTCCCTTCCAACCTTACTGAGTGTGAAATAAGAGCCCCCACGCAGTCCTGTGCGGACCACCACGACACTGGCACTGCCTTCAAACACCACGAAGAGCAGCTCGGGAGCCCTGCGGGAGCCCCGCGGCCCGTCCCCTCAGGGGCCGCGCCCCGGGACGGCCGCGGCCGCCGGCCACGGCGGGACCGGCCGGGACGAGAGCTCGCAGGCAGCGGGGACGCGGCGGCGGCGGCTGACCCCGTCCCTCCGGCAGCGAGCCCCGAGCCCGCAGCACAGCTCCGTACTCACCCCGGCGCTCTGCTCCGCCGCAGCGCCGCTCGAGGGGAGGGGAGCGAGGCGGGAAATGGCGGGAAGGCTGAAGGGAGCCTCAGGGAGGGCTGAGGGAAAGAGGGAAGGCGGAGGGGAGGCTAAGGGGGGGTAGAAAGGAGGCTTAGGGAGGGTAAGGGGCGGCGGCGGGAGGTTCAGGAAGGCTGAGGGAGATTCAGGAAGGCTGAGGGAGATTCAGGAAGGCTGAGGGAGGTTCGGGGAAGCGCCCGCAGCTCGAACCGCCCGCCGCGCGCGCGGTGTCCCCGCCCCGCTCCCCCCACCGCGCTGCCGCGCGCGCCCGCTCCGCCCAATGGGGCCTCCCGCGCAGGCGCGCGGCGTTCCGCCTCGCGCGCGGCCCGCCCGCCGGTGACGTCACGCGGGCGGGGCTGCGCGGCCGGGCCGCGCTTCCCCTCAGGGCGCTCCGCGGGCCGCCATGGCTCGGTCCGGCCGCGCCGCCCTCAGCGCCCGCCCTGCGCCTCTCCGCGGGCCTTGCTCGCCGTTCCCCCGACCGGAACACGGGAAGGGGAGGATGGGGCAGACCTGAGCGCAGTTGTTGCCGTCCAGCTTTGACCGCTGTGCCCTTCAGCTTCCTCGAAGCCCAGACATGGCTAGCGGCGGGCACTTCGCCATCCGTACCCAGTGTTGCTGGTTTTCACCCCTGCTTAGTCCTTTAATTCATGGGCTTTATATCCTTTATGGCCTTTTTGAACATGCTGACACATAACCTCACAAGGCAACATCCCAGAACGTTATGAAGTGCTGCTTGAAAAGTCACTTTCCTAATGGTTTTGTAGCTTGTTCTAAAACCTATCAAATGATTCCTGGTACTAGCGTTTCAGGATTTGGCCACTGCCACCTCTGCATGTACCTTACCTGTGGTATTCCTGGCAATTAAAAAAAAAAAAAACCAGATTATTTTCCTTCAGCTTCGTCCTCTCCAGTTTGGAGAGTCCCAAAATTTGGTGCTCCATTCCACTCATTGTTCCCAACATCTTCCTCAGCCTTTTACAGCATTGCTGTGCCTTGCTCAGGGCGCAGAGACGAGACTGCAGAGTCCTCAGGGCGTGGGTGTACCAAGGTTTTCTATGGAATCCTCATTTCCAGTGCCTTCCTTACAATGCTCCCTGTTTTCTTGGCTTTTTGGCTGCTGCTGCCTGTGAAGTTAGCAGAAAACTCT